TATCCAGTTGTTGAGTACTTCAATGTTTGATCCAGGGGCTCTATAAATGCAACTCACTAAGACATTTTTCCTTTTTTGCTGCAGTGGATGTGTGGAGATATACAGGGTTTGTTGTGGAGAGGTTTTATAGACAACTTAAAGCCTCCACTCTGTTAGGTGCAACATATCCTGAAGCATCTGACAAAAACCGAGAAGGGTATACTCACTGAGGGACGTTTCCACTCGAACTTCATTGTGGGTTTCTCGCTGTAAAAAAGTGAGGAGTCGTTTGCAGGGAAGAGAGGGTCCTCAAAAAGAACGTGCTTCGTCACATATTTATCCCTCAGCTCCAAAAAGGTCTTCAGGCGCTTTGCATCCTTGACGGCCTCATTTCTGCTGAGAATGGCCGAGTAGATGGAGTTTGCTCCTGTGATCCCGTAGTCAACATTGCCATCAGCCTCCAGTGACGCCTCAGTGTCAAGAAGCACTTTCACCTTTGTTTCTTCAACCACAGGTTCCTTCTCTGGATGGTTTCTGTCCTCCATCATCTAACCCTCTAGTGCCACTACTGCAAGTTGGGGACTTTTCTTTGCTGAAACAACATGCGAAGTTGCAAAATAACTTCCTGTGTTGTCTTAAACTAATCACTTTTAGTTCCTTTCTTTTCTAAAGCAAGAGTTATTACTGCTTCTGTGGGGTAAGAGCCACACTGCCACACTAGCAGTGCCCCTGGAGTAACTGCACCTAAATATAAACCTTTTTAAGAAGGGGAGGAGGCTTCTCAGAGTTCTCAATATCCAAGGTTCACAGTGTAGCTGTCAGATGAACAGCGTGGAATGAAATATGTAGTTAAATATATATTAAAAATCAGAAATTCCCCCACAAAGCCATGTTTTGCAACTAGATTTTAATAATAGGATGATAATTTTGATTTATTCGGCAATATTTGCATATAAACAAATTGCATATCTGCTGCCATCAGTCTTCTCCACAGTGAAAAAAAATAATCGAAGTGGGCATGTTAGGGTAATCTACATTAAATGAATGGTAGCAATAGGGACCCCTAGTGGTAATAAAATATACTTTAACTCTTTTTCTGTCACAGAAAACCAACCAATCATGACTTATCTCGTTTTGATTGGTTGAATTTGCGCTCAGCCAGCGTCCATAACAAATACAAACACAGGGCGGTTGAGGACAAGGTTGCCAGGTTTGAGAAAAATCCGTATTTTTACACCGTCGTCATTTGAAGTATCTCAAACGCAATATAACAGTTTGAACTTGTTTTTTTTTTTCTTTTCTTTTAAACAATCATCTAAAACAAACAGGCAAAAACCCTAAATAAGTTGTGGCCTAAAAATTAAGGAGTAAACGTACAAAAAAAAAAAAAATCAAAAGACAAAAGATTTACCATACAATCTCCACACTTTTCCCACACCATAATGGTGCTGTAGTTTGCATTATATGTGTCCCATTAATATTAATAAACTGCCCCAAAGAATTTCTGATCAAATTATGGTTATTTAATGTCAAATTTCAGCTGTTTACATTTTATTTTGGTTACGCAGTTTTAGTTTTCTCCTGTTGTTGGTGTCTGTAACTTTGAGACCATTTTTTATGCTACAACCACAAATTTCTTTGTTTTTTGGAGGTGATTTTATTTAATTAGAGTGGCAAGAAGAGAACCATTGTTTAAAGAGTGCAATAAGAAGATCTGTTTGAAGTTTTTAATGCAGCAAACATGTGAATGAAGGAAATGTAAATACAAAAAAGAAAACTAACATTAAACATCACAGTAAAACATAAGGGAGGAAGCATCATGCTGTGGGCATTTTTTTTAAACTAAAATAGGGAAGATGATCAGCTAGGGTTGATGTGAATATGGAGACCGCTAAATATAGGGGAATTCTGGAAAAAAAACCTGCTCAAGGTTGCAAAAACAGAAGAGGATCGGCAAAGCAATGAAAATTAATATTCAAAGACAGTTCTTCATCCAATTTGACTGAGCTTGAGCTGTTTTGCAAGAAATGGGGAAGGATCTGTTTCTATATATGAAAATTTGGTAAATGTACAGAAGAAGATTAAAAAACCTTTACGAAAAAGTCATTATTCATATTTCCCGTATAGGGACTCCAATTTTCGTTCCACCTTCCTTAGAAGGCCATAAAGGGGGATAATAAGAGTTTTACCTGGCAACCAGCCTCGGCTCGTTAGTGCAGTGTGCATCTGGAAGTTGTCGCCATCATAAGTAGCTAAATGTTGCAGCTAGCTCTCAAGTCGTCAGCCGTTGTGTCCGAAGAAACATTATCTGACACAGTTAACTGCTTTTTCTGTGTTTCATATCGATGTTTTGTGAGCTGTTATGATGTCAACCACCAGTAAACGCGATTAGTTCTGTTGCAGTGTTGTGTCGTTTTCTCAAAACCAACAGCAGGATCTATTTTCAGAGCACACATTAGCAGGCTGGAGTCTTGAGAGGCAGCAAAGGGGCGGTGGGCTGCTGAAACCGTTGCTGGTTAGCAACGAGCTTGCTTGGTAGCTAAAGAAAGTGAAATCGTTAATACACGTTTTCAAAAACAATCCGCTTTGAACGTTGCTGCAAACTAAGCGGTGGTTTTCTGCTCTTAAGTTCGTAACTGACCATAACCAAGGAGCTAGCAGGGTCAGGGCTAGCCATCTCTTCGTTGAGGAACCTGAGATTTAAAGCTAATAGGACTTATCATTCTGCCTGGATTGGTCTGTAGCAGTGAGACTCTGATAAACTGGAGCTGCAATCGTCAATTTTGTCGTTTTTTACAGGCAAGTACTGCTTTATAAAGTATGTTCACTTCTGTTTGAGATACGTTTATCTGTTAAAGCCAGAGAATTAATGCTAACTTCCGCTGTTGCTGCTGTCGTCTTAATAAACTACTTGTCATTCTCTTCTTTAGGCTAGTTTTAAAATGTGTAGAGCTCATTTTAGAGGTAATTAATACGTTTATGCTATGGTTTCTGTTTTATGTAGCAGGCTATTGGGCCTGACAGCGGAGAAGATGTCTGAAGGAGAGAGCAGGCAGGCCCCGGATCCTGCCCAGGAGACGAAGCCGGACTCGGGGGCAGCTGCGCCCGCAGGCCAAGCGGTGGCATCCGTGTCGCCGCCGGTGTCCACGGTGACCCAGCCTCCTCCCACTGCTGCCACGGAGGACGAGGAAGAGGAGAGCGAGGATGAGTCAGAGATTTTGGAGGAAAGCCCGTGTGGACGCTGGCAGAAACGCAGGGAAGAGGTATGTGTGACTGAGTATCTTCATTCAAGTTTGCACAAAACTGGGAAGTTTGTCTTTGAAATGGAGATGGGATTTGTTGGGAATTGGATCTATCTACATAATCTGGAACTAATCAAACTGTTGATAATAGAGAAATAAAAGAATGATGACCTGACATAAACAGTTACAGAGCTGTTGTTCTGCATTAAGTTATGGCACAAAGGTATCTGCACTAATAAAACCAAGAAGGATTGCAAGCAGATGATGGTTTACTACCTTTTTTGTGCTTCAAAATGCAGAAGTGCACCACATTAAACTATATCTCTCTTTTTTTTTTACAAGTTTAATTTCTTGTAAAAAGTGACTGCATTGCTATTTATTGTAATTATGCAGCTGCTTCTTTGACCATTCATCTATTTTCTGCACTGGTTTAATCCTCGCCACATCATGTGAAAAACGAATCAGAAGTAAATACTTTCAAGATACTAAACCAAATCAGATAGAGTTTTGTCTGTTTACCACATTTTAGCGTTCCTTTTAAATTTGGTTTGGAGCAGCTCAAATAGTCTCTTGTAATCACCATCATTTTGATTACTAACTGGGATTTAATGACTCGCATCCCGGTGCTCTAATCGTTTTTCTTTCCCTCGTTAAAGGTGAATCAGCGTAATGTGCCTGGGATCGATAATGCTTACTTGGCCATGGACACGGAGGAAGGGGTTGAAGTGGTGTGGAATGAAGTCATGTTCTCAGAAAGGAAGAACTTCAAACTGCAGGAGGTAAAATGCGTTAAAAAGCGTCGGATGTTAAAATGGTCAGACTTGTTACTGTTTACACACTAGGAAGGGAGAAGATGTTGCTGTACGGCTTTATTAATGAAGACAGTTATGTGTTAGCATTTTAGAAATTACACTGTCCTTCAGAGTGCCTGTCACATTTCTTTTCCAGTGGAAGATCCGGTCTCTAGTTATGGTGCGTTCACGGACAGGGAAAATGAGTTGAGACCTTCTGGTCACACGTTTCCAGTTAATTTTTAGATTGGGTTGAAGGCCTCAAACACTTAAAGTTGGAATGTTGTCTTTGAGGGCGTTCAGTGTAGGACAACAAATTGAATGCAGCATAACTAGGAGCAGCAGAAGTTGCATTTTATTTTGACCGATTCGGTGAAAAATGGCAGGGAAGTAAAACTGAATGTAGTCGTCATTTTTTTTTTTTTTTTTTAAAGAACTTTGTACTTAAAAGTGACATTTTCCTCTTTTATATCACAGGAAAAGGTGAAGGCTGTGTTTGACAATTTAATCCAGCTGGAACACTTGAACATTGTGAAGTTCCACAAGTACTGGGCAGATGTGAAGGAAAACAGAGCCAGGGTATGAAAACATGTCACTACTACTTTTTTTTTTTAAATCACATGGACAAAATGTTAGTCTTCATTTTGATTGTGACGTATAATTTTTTGCAGGTTATTTTCATCACTGAGTACATGTCATCAGGCAGTCTCAAGCAGTTCTTGAAAAAGACAAAGAAAAACCACAAAACCATGAACGAAAAGGTCTGAAACGTTCGGCTGCATCGCCAGATGTTCAAATGCCTCAACTTTGAAATTGGCTTTATAACTCGGATTAAAAATACAAATCTCATTGAATCCTGTTTTTGTTCTTCTTTTAAACATGTTTTAGCCAAGAATTAATTTCTGCTCTCCTGTTTGCTTTCTGACAGGCCTGGAAGCGCTGGTGTACGCAGATACTGTCTGCCCTCAGGTTAGTTGGCAGGAATGTTTCTGAGCAAGTCTTTACAAGGAGCTACAACTTTGATAAGTCAGCTCAGCTATTTCGCAGCGCAGTGTAACATAAACACGAATAGAATATTGATTTCAATCCAGGTGTAGGTGTTTATTAAGGTGGCAACTTGTATAGAAGTCATAACTATTGCATGTTCGCCTCCAGTTACCTGCACTCCTGTGAACCTGCCATCATCCACGGCAACCTCACCTGTGACACCATCTTCATCCAGCACAACGGCCTCATCAAGATCGGCTCAGGTCTCACATTTTCTGGAATTAATACGATCGGTTTTATGAGCTCAAGTCCAGTGGTGTGTGTCTCTACAGACACGGTTTTACAAAGTGTTCTCCTTTTCTCCTCTTCTAGTTGCCCCCGACACCATCAATAACCATGTGAAGACCTGCCGGGAGGAGCAGAAGTGCCTCCACTTCTTTGCTCCAGAATATGGAGGCAAGATCCTGCCGAGTTCAAAATAACGTCAGGCAGCTCTGTGCTGTTTTTGTTTTCTTTTTCTCATATGAATTTATCTTTTTCGGCTTCCAGCTGTTGCCAATGTTACCACAGCGGTGGATATCTATTCCTTCGGAATGTGCGCCTTAGAGGTGAGAGGCAGTGAGATTTGTGTTTTCGACAATTTCTTTCCAGTGTTTTCTTTTTAAATAGCGACTAGTAGCGAGAGCAAGTACACTGTTCACTCATGTTTTGCATTTTGGGTTTGTACAGGTCTTGAAATCCTTAAACGCTTGAATTTCAATTAGATGTTTTCAAGATTTTCAAAGTGCTCTGCTTGGTTTCTGTATAAAAAAAATGCTAACATTCGGACGACAAAGTTTTGTAATGAAGTGAAATCTAACGTTTGATTAAAAGCCTAGATTTGGAAAATGTCATTTACGGTTGAGGCCATATACTTAAAGATAATAAAAAGATGCATGCACATTTATCTGAAGTTGTTAGTGTAAACTCTTTTTTTATTTTAAGTTAGTTAGAATTACCACAATTATTTCTATTTACTAAATGCCAGAAAACTTAGCGAGAATGTTTTTTTAGAGATTTTTTTGTAACTTTCTCAGACCAGTCAGGTTTATAGGGTGCATGTAAGAGCTGTTTCAAAACATAAAATGTTGCTATATTTTAGTTTACTTGGTGCCAGTAGTGGACTAGCACAAGATAACTTTGAAAACTTGAAGTGTATGAACCCTGATTTATACTCCTTTTTTTTTTTGTCCATTCATTTTGCCAGATGGCTGTTTTGGAAATCCAGAGTAATGGAGATTCGTCGTATGTGTCCCAAGAAGCCATAAACAGTGCCATTCAGTCCCTAGAAGACCCGCTGCAGCGGGTCAGTGAAGAATAAACCGCAGCTTAAGACCTCAGTCAGCTTTAGGAGCACAAACTCTGCATCTTATTATTTTCCGCCTTTCTCACATGTTCAGGAATTCATCCAGAAGTGTCTGGAGGTCGACCCGAGCAAAAGACCCACAGCCAAAGAGCTGCTGTTCCACCCCGCCTTGTTTGAGGTGCCTTTACTCAAGCTGCTAGCCGCACACTGCATCGTCAGCCACCAACGTACGTCAGCACATGCATTCAAACTGTGTTATCTGTTTACATTGTTATTAGTAAGGTTTTTTTTTTTTAAGTCGCTTCGATTATTTGCACTTTCTGGGTTACAGAGTCATTTCCTGCTGTTGGATTCTGAAGCTGCTCAGCTGTAAATCTGTTAGCGTTGAGCAGGAATGAAACCTTCAGGATTTGTAGCAAAGATTAGCTCAGTGTTGAAAGACATTTTGAATTGTTTCTGCATTTTCACCAATCTTAGCCTAAATCCTACAAATTGCGACTTTTTATAGTTTGTTAATGAGCACTGTTTTGTTAGGTATGAGGACCAAACGTGCATACAGTAGTGCAGTGTTTTTTGCAATACGTGAAAAGATTCAATGATGCTGACTTTGTTTCAGCTTTTTGTTGCACTAATGATAATGAACATAACTACTGACCGTTCTTAAGTACAGATTTTGAACTTTTTTAAAAATGTTCCCGTTCCAGACTGTGTAGAAACCCTAAATAGAGATCAGCAGGAAAATCAGAGCAGATTGGAGCCTTCAGGAAGTTCTGGAAGTGCAATCAGAGCTATTTTTTAGTTTGTGAATCGGCTTAAGACAAACTTCAAGCCTTCGTCCATCTTCAGCTTTCTTTCTGTGAGATTTCCGTTTTCGTTTCTGCAGATATGATTCCAGAAAACGCTCTAGAGGAGATGACGAAGAACATGGACCCCAACCTGGTCATTGTTGAAACAAAGAACGGAGTTCAGATGAAGTAAGTCTTTCACTTTGGAGATTAGTTGGCTGCAATTTTTGACTATTTTGATTTTGATTTGATTACAGACAGAATCTTGTGTATAAAAACAGACGTAGCTACAAACATCACAGGTTATATTTGTTGCTTGTTTTCCCCCTTCTTATCAGGCTCTCTCAGTTTCCTGCATTAGAACTGGACAAGTTTCTGGAAGATGTGAGGTAAAAGCAGATTAGTTTTGCTAATCTAATTTCTAAAACACTTTAGGTTTCAGTTGGTTGGAAACATCTTAAACAACCGTTTCGATTTGAGTACCAACATATTTACATCTCGGTTCATAATATGGTATTTCTTATGATATTACTTGCTGTTAACATGAAAAAATTCTTAGCATGATATTTTGATTTATGATGATACATTTCAAGGAATGATTTCTGAAAACTAACACTATTCTTTGGAGTGTTACTTTGACTCTTCTCCACTATTCAATCAAGAAAATTCTGTGAACTGGAAAATATGATTGAATACAATTATTGTCTGATGTTTGCTGATTAAAATCAGACTTCTTTGTTGCTGATGTCCTGAAGAATCAGCATCACTTTTGTTGTTAATTCTGAAGCTCTAACGTTTTACTGCTTTCCCTCTTCGTGTTATCAGGAACGGGATCTATCCGCTGACCGCTTTCGGGATGCCCCGTCCACAGCAACCTCAGCAGGAAGCCGTTAAGTCGCCCATCGTCCCACCTTCAGTCAAATCCCCAACACCTGAACCTGCAGAGGTTGAGACCAGAAAGGTGGGAACTGCAGACCTCAGACCCCTTCTAAGGCATCAAATTCACATTGTTTTTCATTTGTGCTGCCAGGTCCTCCAGATGCAGTGTAACATCGAGCCTGTCGATGAGGGCAACAAGCATCACGTAGGTTTCAGTCGAGGGGCAGAGGGGAAAAGTTTTTGTGCTCAAATAATGTTGACTTATTTCGTTTTCCTTTCAGCTGACGTTGTTGTTGAAACTTGAGGATAAACTAAACAGGCACTTGAGCTGTGATTTATTACCAAGTAAGTAAAACTTGACTAAATTTTCTCGATTCTATGGTTTAAAAATAATGTGGGTGCTTGCACAGTTACTGAACAGATTTTGATTTATTTTGGCTGCAGATGTTTTTTGTTTTGTTTTTTTTTCTTCTAATTTTGCATCTGATAGTCTGGTAGACTTGGTTCAATGGGGGACCAGAGTGTCAACAGTAGTTCCATTTTTAGTTGTTGCACTTCACTTTCACAGAGTCAAATTAACCAGATCCTTTAAAAAAAAAACCTGTTCCCTTTCTTACCTGTGGTGGCTCTGCACCAAAAACCACTTGAGGAAAAACACAAAAACCTCTGAAGAAGACAAAGAGCCCAGCTGCCTTCACAAAATGTAAACAAAGATGTCAAATTTTAGTGTTAGATTGTTTGATAAAAGACTACGACCCATTTCTCCAGTTAGCGTTACACTAACGTGTTTGTTTTGGTTGAATTTACCCAGAATGCCAGGCATGATAGTCTGCTTCCTGGTCTACGGTCCAGTTAGCATCAGTTTGATTACATGTTCAAACCCCTGCCAGACGAAGCGGACTTTCTAGTCAAATGGACTTAGAGAAGTTGGTAGTGACAGAAAACAAGCCACTGTTATTATCGGTGCACCTATATCATGTTTCATTAAAAAAACGAAACAAAAAAAAACTTTAATTTGTGATCTCTTTTGTTCTTTTGCACAGATGAGAACGTTCAGGAGCTGGCCGTGGAGCTCGTCCAGCTGGGATTCATCAGCGAGGTGAGCAGAGAGGACTCCGATTCTCTGTGGCAATCCCAGGTGGGATCCTTCTCACTTCGTCTTTTCGCCGTTGCAGGGCGATCAGCCGCGGCTCGCGTGCGTTCTCGAAGAGGCCTTCTCCAGGTTCTACAGTCGGAATGACTCTCTCAATCCGGTGACCGTTTCGTCGTAGCTGAGGACTCGCCAGGCCTTCTCTGAGCCCTCCTCGTCCTCCGCAGCAGGACTAGCTTTTCGCTTCATGTCGACATCGCTATAAAAGCTTTAGTGAGAACTGAGAGGGAAGCCTTGGTCTGACTGCAGATCCTGCAGCGTCTTCTTGTATCTTCTAGTGGGAAAAGCTGCCACTAAGTGGTTGTTGGTCTCTCTTTATTTTTATTTTTAATTTCTCCCGCCACATACAGCCATCTTCTTCTCTTCTGAAAGAGGAAATTGTAATTGAAGCCTAATGGAAAGTACAAATGTTTTATTTCTTTCAGTTGTAAGGAAATGATAGAAGAAAGCTAAATCAAATGGATAACAGCAGTATTTTCCTTAAGTCAGTGTTGAAGTTGCATTTTAAACTTTTTTTTTTTTTTTTCTTAAATCATTTAATGGAGTTGTGTGTGTCTGTCTGCTGTCCCGACAAACTGAAGCGTGTGTTTACAGTGTTGTGAGCTTAAAGTCTGGTCGTTTAAACTTTTGAGGTTCCTGCTGACCTCGGATCAGTTTCAGGTGGAAAACTAGGGACAAAACATAAGCAGTTTCAGTTTTGCTTTAGATTTCCACTATCACACATGTAGTCATAAACCCTTCAGCTGCAACACAATCAGACGAGCAGGTTAAGATATATATAAAAATCTATTTATTTGTGTATCTCTCTTTGACTGATCCATTTCACTTCCAGCACAGAGGCCGGGGGACTGATTGTATGCTTTTACTCCCTGCTTTTCTTTAAATCAAGCTGTTTAGTTTCTATGAAAAATGACCAGAGTGCAAACATTGCAGCACTCCTCAACACCCAGTTCTCTTTAGGTCTAATTTCTCACTCAGCAAGTTGGTGTGATCAGTTTTCAAGTTCTGGATTTTCACCGGTGAATACACATTTGGTTCATGGTCCAAAAGTAAAAGCGATGCGTGGAATCCGTTTTCGCTCATCAGGAAGTAGATTTTGTTGCTCTTCAGTTACTGGCTTCAATCCAGTTATGCAGGATTAGTGGAATTTTTTTTGCTCCTTTTCTTTTGGTAAACTTGTCCAGCCGTGGGCTCTGGCTTGCGCGCGGCGCTGGGAGGAACATCAAGATGTCGGTAAGCCTGAGCTGCGTCCTCCGCGCTGTGACTACGTCTTGACAGGGTCTGTAGATACGAGTGTGGGACTGCCTGGCATGCCTGTAACCATCATGTACTCTGTATGCTGGACACTGTGCTGTTTCCACAACGCTTTTGCCCTCTTTTTCACTTCCTCAACTAAAATGGTAATAAAAAAACAAAAACAAAAAACACATTATCTCCACCTGACGTGTTTGACTCATTTTTTTTTTTTTTTTAAAAAGCTGCAGAGTTCCAACACAACATGGAGTATGTCTTAATTTGTTTTCTCAGACTTTATTTACTGTCCTGTTCTGGATTTAAAGTCAGTTTTATCCATCTATCAATGACTCTTTTATCGGTCATCCAGCCATCGGTTATTTCATCCAGCCATGTTCTTTTGTGTCAATTCAAGCATATGTATCCCAAAGGGAAATTAAATGTAATTCATATTAAAGTATGATATGGGCAGAACAGATGGAATTTATTGTGATTAATCCATTATTGAAATAATTGTCAACTAATTTAGTAGTCGATTAATCAGGGAGTGCGTTTCCTGAAAGAAAATGCACTCAGAGCAGTAATTAACCCAAAACTACAAAATATATACATTTTGAATCAAAAAAAAAAAAAAAAAAAAAACATAAATAAAGTTGAACATATCATTTGCCATTGTGATCGATGAAAGCGTTTGAACTTCCTTTGTCTTTCTCTACTCTTTAGTTTCTGGTCTGCATTGTTGAAGCCTCGTTTTCAACTTCTCTAAGACTTTGGGTCGTATTTTTGTTATTATTTGCGTCTCAAAGACTGCAGATCAGCTGCTTCCAGTAATAGACACCTTGTTGACATGGTAACGTGTTATAACAACTGTCAAAGTAAGAAGAAACAGAAATCTCATTCCTACAACACATCAAAACTAACAGATCTACATCAACATGCAAACTTGAGCGCCGCAGTTTTATTGTTCTGTGTGTCTCTTAACTGGTTATGTCCTCCATCCGTCCGTTTTCTCATAAGTCCATCCATTTGTATATCCATTCATGTTTTCATATACCATCCAATACCCCCTTGGTTTTTCCATCCATCCAAGTTTCAACCATTCATTCACTTTCACATTAAAAGCTTGACTACTGTGTAACATTTGCCCATACATGGAAAACTGAGAAGTGTGAAATTACTTGCAATTAAAATAAAAAAAAATATTGACAAATGTTTAGGAATCCTATAGAAAAAAAAAGAAGCTAATTTTGTTGGTACATTTTTGAAGTGTAAATTAAAACTTTAAGGCCCCCAGTAGAAATAATTTACATAAAGACAACACAAATGGGACAAAATTGAATATTTTAAATAATTTATACAAAAAAAAAAAACCCATCCTGGTGTATCAGGAGTGTGACCTCTAACCCCAGAGCATCACTGTTTGAATTCAACAATTATTCATCCAAAATGGTTTACAAATGTTAGCCCTTGTACAAGAATATCCATGTACAGAAGTCCACAATGTGTGCTCAAACAACACTTGGATAAAACACGTTTCATGCTGACAAAACACGTTGCCGTACAAAATTACAGCAGTTAAAATAGAAGAACAGCGAAGACTAAAAAATAGCTTTTATATAAAACACCCTAGAAAGACACAGTAAATAAAAAGCTACCAAAATGGCCACGTCTCAACGATGAGTTTCTCAGCTGGGTGGGAATTTTCAGTTCTGTACAGTGAGTACAAAATAAATCCAAACAAAAACAGTACATAGCACTTCAAACACATTACTCATTCACATTAAATTCTTCTTTTACTTTCCAGTTTGAAAGTGACGTATATAGGCACAGTAATTAAATCCGTGAGCCATGTTTGGTGAACACATTTTCGTTTGTACCTCCAAATGCCAGTTTGAGTTCAGCTCAAACACGAGCTTCCAGTGTCAAAATGTCTGCTGAAGCAAGGGTTGCAGTTTGTTTTTAGCGCTCCTCCTTTTTCGTGTTACCACAACAATGAGACAATCAAATACTCCAAAGAGTCTCCCAGACTGCAGCCAGAAAAGCTTCATAACAAAGCTAACATGTGTTAACGTAGAAATATTCCAAATCCGAAGGGTCTCGTTCCAAAACACTGAGTCATTTTAGAGTAAAAAAACAAAAACTTTGATCTGAATTTCAGCACAATCCAAATAATCCTCTATTTACAGTCAACAAAAGCTGACAAGAACATCTTGCTTCATGCTTGTTTTCAAAAATAATTAGTCATTAATCACATTTATGTTCTCATAGATATAAAGCAAATCGTTTGGACGTGTTATTTATATTTTATCCAATAAAGACATTTCATATTCAAAACTCACATTAAGTCCATCAACTAAATTGATTTTGGACTCAGACTATTCAGTGAACAAATCTTTTTATTTTTTTTTTAATTATTATTATTTCTTTTTTTTTTTCAGTTTTACTTTTCTTAACCGAAACTAATTTAAAAAAAAAAAAAAAAAAAATGTTTACGGCTAAAGAAATTCCAATACATCAAATATGCATGTTTACATCAGAGTGGCACAGCTGTAAACTTGAAGTTAAATTATGGCTAAATTTCCATTCAGCTGCTTAGTTTCTCTGTCCTAAAAACACACATGTAATAGGACTTTAGGTTAAAAGACAGCCTTAATATTGACTTCTGTACTGTTTCTTTTATTCATCAAACGGTCTAAGTTGGAAAGTTCTCATTAATTATTCACAGGAAAGAATACACTTTTAAATACTTCTTTAGCTTGCCTATTTAATAGTGCAGTTGAATTAAAAATTGAGTTAGATTTTGCACTCTTTAAAGCATAAAACATACAATTGTTGTCAGATAGCAGAGCCTCCACATTTATTGGGACGCCCTGATGGATGTGTAAAAAGATTTTTAATAAATATTTTTTGAAGCATCATAATCTTACACAGAAAACGTTAGAAAAAAGGTTCATTTTATTGAGTGGGGAAAACCTCTGATTTTACCAAATTATTATTATTATTCATAAACAGTACCTCCGAAAATGGTTTAAATTTAATTTTACTGAATCCTTTTTTTCTTCTATATACTTCACTTTATTGAATTTAATTGCCAAAGATGACAAAATTTGCATCTCTTTCTCAGACATGGACTTTCTTCTGTGTATTCTGCTCCTTTGTTGTCATTTCAATTGAACATCCACATCAAACGACAGACCTAAAGGTTTGTTCGTCTGCAAGGCCCGAAAAAGCAACGATGTTGTTGTTCTCTCATTTGATGAAGATGATGGATACGATGCCGCCGTTAGCAGCTCTGCATATAAAATACCTCGCTTTTGTAAGAGAAACTTTCTGATGTGGGAGGAGAACAGGAAATATATAATGAATAACACCAAGTTTAGCACCAACAGTGCAGCAGAAGGCAATTGGACTTTAGGAGGTTTGTAGCTGTTTCCACTGGTAACCGGACGCAGGCGTCTTCACCGCTTTGCTTTAGCTCTGTACTTAAAAAAAAAAAAAAAAAAAAAAAAAACTCTTCTGGTCCTGGCAAGAAAGGCTGAGAATGCGTCAGGGATCCACTTGGTCCTTTTTTATTTCATTTTTTCAAACACTGGTACATCAGCGCTCGTGGATTCAGCATGTAGCGCTCAGAGTTGAGCAGCTTGGTGAGATACTGAGGTACCTGGTGCCGCGGAGCCACGTATGACACGCCGGGGCTGACCGCCATCACCTCCGCAATCTTCTGCTTCATTTCGCGGATCTCCCTGTCCTGCTTCTTCACTTTGTCTGCAAGACAGAAAAACACGTGTGGGTAAAGACACGGACACAGAAGGAGACAGCAGATATCCACAGTCTAGGATTTTATAAGGCAACAAACACATAAGGATGACATTCCTTCTTTGTCATTTTCAATCTGCCACTGTTCATACATCTTTACACAAAAACAGCACTAAGTGACTAATGGCTGCAAGTCTGGCTGCATGAGTCATGCGGGTGTTGCTGTGCGATGACTTCATGAGTTTCTGCACATGTTGCAGCAGGTGACAGAGTAAAAGGCTTAATCAAACAGATGTGACGCATTTTATGAGACAAAAAAAATATCAACGCAGAGTAAATTTCCAACCCCCCAACCTGCTTTACAAACTTCTCACAGTTTTCTAGTGAAAACAGAAAAAGCCAAACAATGTAATCTTGCAAAAGAAAAAAAAAAAAAAGAAAACATTCCTAGAAATTATGCTGCAGAAGTAGAATACTTTCCTAAATCCAAAATAGCTTTGTATTTTGCTTGGCTCTACATTGTCCAATTAAAATCATAATTTGCTATCATCATAAATTATTCATTACAATCTGTGATGATTTAGAACATCTGGTCTGTTAAATGTGTTTAAATCTTATATTTCCATAAATCCAAGTAAGAAAAAAAAAAACGTTGTCTCTTCCCAAGAGGCAAAGCTCTTTCATTTATTGCACTTTAGAGCTGTACAGAACCACACACACCTCCAAACTGCGCATATGATGAGTACATTGTGAATTCTCCAGGCTACAATTCAAACAACTTAAAGTCAGATGTGATAGTTATAGTACTATTATTATGACTATTAAATGACGCTCAAAAAATAAATGCTACTTATTTCAGTGCACACGCCTCCAAATTGTGCACATGGTTGGTAACATTCAGAGCAGACACTGCTTACTGTTCAAATATAATAATTCAGATGAGATTTTTGTACCAGTTTCATTATGAGGAAAGCTGGGTCGTATATGAGTTCTCACTGAAGTAAAAGGCTCTGCCGTGATCCAAATACAAAAAATAAAGCAATGCGATTCTTTTGTTTCTTAATGTTTCCTTACTACTGTTTGTTAATTTAATGACTTTATCCTTCTTTGGCAAAATTCTCAAACATAGTTTAATATGCTAGTTTTGAAACTTTTAGTTCTGGTAAGTTTTCTGTGTCCGTGGCTCATTATAAATTAATGAAAAGTCTGAAAACAGCTTCTTTCTTACTTTTTTGAGCACTTATGTTTTAGTTTACAACAGATATTACAAAACAAAAACTGGATGAAATATGAATAGACAAAAATTCACATTTCTAGATTGTTGGCAATCTAGCTAAGTACCAACCTTTAAATGTATTGATATGCGATTAATAGTTCATACTGACTTTTAATGACACATTAAAGAGGTTAGGCTTTGTCAAACTGTCTGCATTTGAGGGATTTTCTTTTGTTTTCTAACAGGCTGACTCATTTGGGTGGATGCACGGTAAAAGCTCTCAGTCTCATTGCTTCACAAAGTTTTAAAGTCATGAATTAGCAATCAATTTGTAGACTAACAAGCGAAGATTTTCAATCAAAGATTTTACATTTTAAACCACTTGTTAGAGAAAATGTATAAAAATGTCCATCCATCCATTATCTGTACACCCTTTTCCCTTCGTGAGGTCGGGAGGGTCGCTGGTGCCTATCTCCAGCAAACGTTTCGGGCGAGAGGCGGGGTACACCCCGGACAAGTCACCAGTCTGTCGCAGATCTGTGTAAAAATGTGAAAATGAAAAATGTTTGTAAACCTTGAGCAATTTCCAGCTGTCTGCGGGCGTCACCCAGAGCAGAAAACAGGTCCAGCTTGATGCGCGTCTCTGCGCTCAGGTTGTACTCCAGATGTTGAGCCTTTTCCTGCATGGCTGATAATGTGGAGAGCAGCATGTCTGTCTCTTTCTCCACACAACGGTACTTCCCCAATGCCTGGAAACAGAACGGATAAAAACACATGAATTAAGCTAAGCCCACCAGAGGGAGTCATTTCTTTGGCTTCCCAAATTCTTCCACTTCTTTCCTTCCTCTCTCTTTCTTTTTTTTTTTTTTGTGGGGTTTTGTTCAGGGAACCATTATACCATAAAAAGAAAACAGTCGTAATTATTTTAACTTGACTGACTCAAAGTCCTTTTAAAAAGTAGGTGCAATGGTTTCTCAACAGACCTGGCTTTGATCTCAGCATGCATGGTGAAGAGTATGTCCACTAATACGAGATCAAATCCCGACACAGCACAACGTGCACACCAAACATCCATTCAATAACACTGCTCACTGATGTAATGACAAAGTGCATTATGTCGACTGAAGGCCAAAATGAAATGAAAAAAAAAAAATCTCAGATGAAAATCATTCAGTTTGCTAAAAAAAAAAAAAACAACAACAACTCAAAAAGCAAAAACCAGATCATGAGCAAACTCAGGACAACGACGTACACGATCATTTGGGTCTCACAGACACTTAAACTCACAGTTCATTCCCAAACAGAAGAAAAAGATACCTCGATATCTCTCTCTAGATCTACCACACGGCTCTCTTTCACTTGATACTCCAGCTGCAGTTGTTTGTACTCTGTTTCTAGATCTTTAACTCTTTTCCTCAACATTTGGGTTTCACAGTGTTCCTGCCTGGTGTAGGAGATGGAGAGATTATCAGTTTGGATTGGAGAGAAAGGAGCGGGATTATCAGCAGACCAAGTTCACACACAGAGAAAACAGAACATTTGCAGTTTTTGTAAATATAAAACGAAACCACCAGAAATAGCAGAAGTGTTACAAAATCAAAAATCTGTTTTGAGCAGAAAAAGAGCCTTCGTCTGGGTAGAGTTTGTAACTTGCCAAGCAGAACTCAACATGTGGACAAAATGGTAGCCAAACACGTTTACTTCTTCCAAGAGAAAAAGAACATAAAATTTAATGTGGAGCTACTTCTAACTTCAATATAAGCATCATCTTCTGGTGTTTATATGCATGGTACTTAAAGTTCCTAGATCTCATTAAGCTTCTAAAAACTAAAAGAAAAGAACTGCTAAATTCAAAATATATAGGAATTCTTATTGCTACTAATTCTTGTGCTACTGAGACAAATAATTAATTCATTTTCAGTATGTTACACATCTTTAAGGGTGCCAACAATTTGTCTATGTAAATCACATTTAAAAACAATTAAGTGTAGCACGTTACACTCTGCTTTCCATTTATAACATCTGATCTGCACCAAATTGAAAAGGATAATCAAGGAGGAACTGATCCTTGAATATCCTGCTGAAAATAAAAGTTGCATAATGTGAGCTGTGACCAGCCCTGTGAGCGCCTTAAACCCAAACACTAATTTTAAAAACAATCCTGAGCTGCAGAGAGGCGGAAGCAGGGCTAATATGGCCTCAGCAGCAGCTTTCTGGATAACAGGAAGGCGATGTAATGAAGCCTGACTGATGCCTGCTTTCAGGGTATTACTGTTATCAAGACGAGTTGCAATAAAGGCATGCACATCCTTCTATGAAGGACAAAAATAGCGTTTTTGTTGTTGATGAAAGCCTGACCTCGCCAAGGTTTGCTTCATAAGTCCAGCACAGTGGCCACAGAAACCCCACTAGGCCCAAATGTAACGGCCTCAGTTATGCTTTTATTATAAGTTTGCAGCTAATAATCCAGATGTTACTGTCATTGCACAGCGTAGACGTGTCAAACCTCGCGTTGAGATTCCTGATTTGTTGAACAAAAAAAAGTCAGACTTCCTCTTAACTCTCGCCAGCTGTGGGTGGGATTTTAAGGCGCCCACTCACTTCTGCACAATGAAGAGCCAGACACGAGGGGTTTACCTGTTGGTCAGGGTCCGTGCTGCACTCGCCGCCTCCTCCAGTTTCTGAGCCTGAAGCTCAGCCAGCTGCTTCTCAGCGGAGAGTCGGCCCTCTGCTTCAGCTCTGGTCTTTTTCTCCAGCAGCGCTGAGGTCTGTTTGTCCCTCTGCTTGGTTTTAGTCCAGCACAGAATCCTGAAGACAGAAACGGAGACTGATCGTAAAAAGACCTTGATCTCACAAAGTATAAAATTTTATGTGCATAAAAGCATGTTTGTGGACGCTTAAGACGTCAACCAGCGTTATGTCATTTCTTGAGTTATTCAGATGTGTTTTATTCAGAGTCCTCAAACTGTAGCTTAAAGTAAGTGAGTTTTAACTGTGAATTGCTGTTTTAAAGCTGTTTTTAACATCTGGAGTAATTTAGATCAGCTCTATTTTTAAAATGTTGCAAATTAATTTTATTGCGTTGGTAGTGCTAATAAGAACAACAATAATAGCACTAAAACAATCTAAACTCATTTATCATCTCTTGGGAAATAGATTTGTTGCGTGACTATAGACAGTACATCATATAATAAATTAGCTGTAAAATAAAAAAGCTTGATCAGTCTGTGTCAAATAAAATGCAGTGTAGTGGCATACAGTACATAAAATCCTGACAAAAATATTTTTTAAAAAGCCAGAAAATTGTCCTTTTCTTAAAATTCTAAATGAGAGCGCGTATGTCTCTGTTTTCAGTTTTTAAATAAAAGAAACCAACAAGTTACACAAAACCTGATCAGTGTTTGGCATATCAAGATAAATGACACAACTTAAATATACATCAATGCAAAGAAGTCATTTACTTTTCAGATATTCCGATTTCTTGTAGCTATGGGAAAAGGAATAAAGTTTTCAAAGTGCAACATTTTTCTATACTTATCTCAAATTAGACTTTAACATTCCAAGTTTTTGAAGACGTCACAATAACATTGCAAAGTCAAGCACAGCTTGGCTTGCATTAAGTTTGCAACCATGGCTTTTGAAAAAAGCCTCGCAAAAAATGAGCTAAAGTATGATAATAATGTGCATTTGAAGCGTGCCACAGAAATTTCAGTACGGCAAAGAAAATTGTCTCAAATTATTGAAATGCACGTCTCAAAAGCATCAAAAGAAACCTACGAACGCAATTTTCAGAAAACGCATGAGCCATAAACCAACCTAACAGATATAAGTGTAATTTTATACAACCAAGTCCCTCATGTGCTGCTTCCTTTAGATACTGGAATACAATTTAAAGTACAAAAATTTATTGTCATGGCTGAGATGAGTAGAGTAGTAACTTGGCACCATTTGTCAAATACCATCGATACACATCAGGTTGTAGGTTAATGTTTCATTGACTATGTGTCAAAAGCAACTCCAAGCAAGTAACTCTAATCTAGATTAATCTAAGCACCAGATTTGTGGTGCTTAGAAGCCGAATGCTGTTTCTCCATATTTGGTTCTGGTTCTGGGGATGCAGAGCAGAACCAGAACCAGAAGACCTGAGAGATCTGCTGCAACAACAGCAGATCTTTAATATATTGTGGTGCTAAACCGTTCAGTGATTTATAAACTAACAACAGTGTTTTCTATGCATTAGAGTTGGAAAGAGGATTGGAATTTGGGTCCTTCCAACCCATTTCCACCTTTATTCCAGCACTAATTTCAACCTTATTTATTTAAATAATTCATCAACAATTAACAGATTAGATCTGTTGAAAATCTTGTCCATCAACTGATGGATGACACGGTTTGGTATCATTTTATGCTTTTCCGTGTTTATAGTTAATATTTTGTGCAGCTCTCCAAGTAGACTCAGTGGACCACTCACTTGCTCTGCAGCAGCATGTTGGACTGTCTGAGGAGGGAGACCTCCGGCCTCAGGCTCCTCTCGCTGTTGGTCAGGTTGCAGATGTGACTTCGCAGCTCCTGTTCGCTCTGCCTGCTCGTCTGCAGCTCCCCCTTCAGCCTCCGCAGCTCTGCTTCGAGTCTGATGAAAAGCAGAAACACCTCAGCACCAATTTAAGCCCAATCTGGTGTAAATAAACAGCTACGTACTTGCTGATTTGCTCAGCGTGATAGTTCTGCGTTGCTGTGGCGCTCTTGTCAGCTGCGTCCCTGTTGGGACTGATTGTTTTTGAGTTTGTCCTCTGTTTTTTCTCGGGCCTCCCTGCGGGAGGTGAAGGAGTGTTTGTGTTGCTTCTGCGGGCTTTTGGGGAGGCGCTCTTGGCAGCTCGGGTGGCTTTGCTTCCCTGATCCTCTTGAGGTAGATTTTCCGGGATAATGGACGACTCTGGTCCTCCTTCCCCACTGTGAAGCTGATCTTTGGACTCGGCCACGACGTTCTTAGATGACGACGGTGGTGGCGGTCGTCGGCTCGGCTCGGCCGACCTCACCTCCTGCGATGCCTTCTCGGCCACTCGCTCCTCACTCCGGATCTGCAGGCAGTCGGCGCTGTGTGCGTCGTCATGGGAGACCATGGCACCATTCTGACACTGATACTGACCAGGCTCAGGCTTGACCTTCCACTTAGAGGCTGTGAAACAGCAGGAAGAGAAACTAAAGGTTTAACAGTCTCTTCTCTGATTTTACAAACGCAAACGGCAGCTTGTAGGGACATTTGCGTAACGACACTCGTGAGACGCATTTAAAAACTAATTGGAAATTCTGGGAAATAAAACTGTCAAATACAGTGGTTTATTACGCAAATTTTTTTTTATTATTACTAATTTAGTCTCAGTGAATTTTCGTACATGAAAACCAGAGATTTTAAAGAATGAAACCAGGAGTAAAAAGGCAAACCCGCCTCAAACCTTCATGGTGGAAAAGCACCAACGCTTCTCATGTATTTTATGCAGAGAGAGAGAGGCAAATAAAAAGTCAAAAAGCAGCTGGTTGCAAAGGTGGTCATGGAGTGTTGCTGAAGTGCTGCTGCAGGTGCCCAGACTTACTGCTGCTGCCGCCATCTGTGCTGGTTTTGGAGTAAACCTGCAGGCCTGGTGGGAGCGAGTGCTGAAGGAGGTGCATGTGAAAGTCGTTCTCGCTTTGCACGGCTTTCTGTATGCGCAGCTTGAAAATGTTGGTGAAGTAGCAGGTGGCATCAAACCCCAGATAAACAACAGGATAGCCGATACTGAAAGTAGATAGACGAGGAAAAACAAAGCAGTTACAAGAATACAATGTAAACTCAAAGGAGACTGTAGAGCCGCAGCTTGGCTAAGTGCAAGAGAATGTGACAAAAAACGGTAACACTTTATTTGAAGGGGGTTGAATAAGACTGTCATGACACTGTCATTAACATGACATAACACCTGTCATGAACATGAATAAGCCTTCATGAATATTTATGACTGTTGTCATAAAGCGTCATTCGGTAAATTATGACACTTTTAATACAAAGTTGACATGATTCAAAATGTCTTTGTTATGACAACTTGACATTAACCAAGAAATCATTACTGATATAAATTTGTTATAAAAGTATTACTGATTTCACTTTAAAAATTAGGTAACTTTATGTTAATAAAGGTAAAGTTTAAACAGTAATAATTTCCTGGTTAATGTCAAGTTGTCATAATAAAGACATTTTGAATAATGTCAACTTTGTATTAAAAGTGTCATAATTTACCGAATGAAGCTTTATGACAACAGTCATAAATATTCATGAAGGCTTATTCATGTTCATGACAGGTGTTATGTCATGTTTATGACAGTGTCATGTCAGTCTTATTCAACCCCCTTCAAATAAAGTGTTACCCAAAAAACTGACAATAACTGTGTCAAATTTTGCAGCACCTCGATCTTTAGTAACTATCAAACAAGTGGTGTAAAAAACAATCCTTTTGGTCTATGCAAAATAATAATAAAATGATTGCTAATGATTTTAATTGATCAACTTTTAAATAATGAACAGTACAGAGTCCACCACATTTATTGACAGCACTGGAGAATAAATATGGCATAATAGTCAATTTTTCTTAGTCAATGTTCAAAACGGAAAAGACAACAAAATATATAATTTATATTTATTGGATTTAGGTTTAAAGTCATCTTTTAACTGAATTGACTTGACTCTTCTTACTGGAAGATTCTTTGATATTCAGCTTTTAAGTAAAAATGTAAATAAATTCTGATAGCGATTGATTCTCAATCTATAATATTTTATCATCTTTGTAGATATCCCTACCACATCTATCAGAAATCAACTTCTTGGCTCAGTAAAAATTATTTTACATCTAAATCTACCAAGTGTATGAATACTTGTGGGCTTACCTGCATGTTTTGGTTTCTGCAGATCTTCATAACAACCATTAGACACTGTCTATAAGCCGCTCTTTGTGGAGAAGTATGCCATGAAAAATATTTTTTATTTTGTCCTACCATCACCAATCTAATTGTGCAGAGTTGGCTAAATGCTACTAATACTTTAAAATGAACTTGATTCAGATGAGATTAAAGCTTCTTTCACCTCTTCAAACTATCAGGCCTTATTTAAATAAAAATTGGATGGTCTTTCCAAAAAAAAATCTGGGATTTCAGGTCTTTTATTATGATAAGATGGTCAAATTGAGACTAAAATGATTCATAAGATGTAAAATCCATCCTATTTCATCCCAGCACCAAGACCTAAATTAAAACCTTTCAGCTCACATGAAAGAAAACCTTTCATGTGAGCTGAAAAGAAGATAGCACATAGAGAGAACTCTGGTGATGCATTTTTGACTAAAAAAAGTTTAATAAACAGGATGCAAATGACTTTATGTGAAAGTAGTGAGAGTGGAGAGATTATCCAGCTGCAATAAATGCTGAAGTATCTTAAGGCCATTCATACATCTTTACCAGAGTTACCAATAAATATGGCGGGTGCTGTATCAGCCAGAAGGTAAATTTATATCACAGCAGCATACCAATGTGCAGCGAAAAGATGAGACAGGTTGGGATGAGAGGTATTAAGATCTTTGAGTCGAAGCGAAGCCTCCGTGTAGACGAGCAGAATCCACAGGGACACCGTCGATATACAGATGCCTTTCTCTGGGAAGGAAAACAGGATTTACTGGAGGCGTTCAGGGACACTTTTCAAACCACTGCGTTAAAAAGTTAAAGCTCTATGATGCAATTAAAATGTGAAATAAGATCAATGATAACTTCTCTTTTGGATTAACTAAGTCCAATTTTTTTCTGGTGTCTCACAATTTAGAATGTGTGACTGTTGTAGGAAATGATGAAAAAAAAATGTGTCATTTGAGTCGAGGAGGAGAATCTGGTCTAATATCAGCACAATGCAAGAGCAGAGTGGAAAAACGTTATGCAAAACAGCCAGACTGACTTACATACATGTAACAATTCAATTACATTTATTGATCAACTGATGATGGATGGATGGATGCATGGATGGATGGATGGATGGATGGATGG